TAGGTATAGATTTATTTTGCCACTTGAAGTGATTATTTATGGTGCATCCCATGTCCATCTGTTGGCAGTAGTGCAAGAGTATATGGATACACAGAAAGACCTTGGATACTAGTTCCCAAAGGGTTAATAAGATACATCAGTGTTTACATCCACTAGTAGGTAACCCAAAGATGGAAAATCAACGTTTCCTTTGTTACCTGTCTTGCCAGGAGTTTGTAGAAATCACAGTTCAATGACTGCCAAACTGCAGCATTCCCACCCATCCTGCTGAGTCTGCATCAAGTCTAGCTAACTAGTTTCTCTGAACTCCTTAATAAATGTAACCTTTCTGTTTAGAAAGTAAGTACTATATTGGATTAATTAGACCTGAGTGAGGTATAGTATATTCAATTATTTAATTGGACTAAAAACAGAAGAAAATATGATTAGTTTAACCTTAAAAGACAGTACTTATTTGAGTGTGGGTATTTATGCTTAGCAGTCTTTGTTTCTTCATATCTCTGATTTTTTTTTGGGCCATCTTCTTTTCCTAACTTGATTACTGGTGATTTTTTGTGAAATTTGATTTTCAAATATCATATTCTTCTCTATCCGCATACAGGAGGGCCCACTTTACAGCTCATTTATGGCGTTTTTGCTAATACAGCGATTGTCAATTATAGCCATTCTTCATTTACTCAGACTTCTACAATAAATATCTTCGCCACTCAATTAAGCTAAGGTTTAAAAATATTTTAAAGTAATGTGTGTACTGTATATGCATTTTTTAGGTTCAGCTCTATTGCTGACAATATTATAGTGTTAACTTATCGGGCTTTTATGTGCAATTTGAAAGCGATAAAAGGCTATTTCACTGTATAACGATTTTCACTTACAGCAGTAGGTGGAATCTAACCTGCTGTGTACGTGGGACCCTCCTGTATTCTTATTTTCTTATAAAATTCTCTATGTATTTCATGCTTATGCTGATTTACTTTATTCCTTTTTATCCATTTCAGTTTGAAGTCTTTTATTTCTTAGTATACCTAAAAATAAAGATTGCTTTTAACTGTCAACAATTTCCAACAATGGTTTTTGGTCACTAGCTATGTCCTTTCTTTATCTCTTGTGTTTAAAATTTTCAATATTTATCATTTCATTTACTTTTATTTTTTATTTCTGCATTTTGTTTTGTTGTATTCTGATTATTCTTCTTG